TTTTTTTTTTTTTAATTTTTTTTTTTTAATGTTTATTATTTTCGGGACAGAGAGAGACAGAGCATGAATGGGGGAGGGGCAGAGAGAGAGGGAGACACAGAATCGGAAACAGGCTCCAGGCTCCGAGCCATCAGCCCAGAGCCTGACGCGGGGCTCGAACTCACGGAGCGCGAGATCGTGACCTGAGCTGAAGTCGGACGCTTAACCGACTGCGCCACCCAGGCGCCCCCTGAGGTGTGTTTTTAAAAAAATCTTTTCCCCATTTGTCCAGTGATGTCAGACTTTTAGTCTGGTTATTTCATTATGCATTTATTCTATCATTAAATGTATTACTGCTTATACTCGAAAAGAGATCCCTTGGGAACAAAGAATCATAACTTTTGAATAATAATATTCGCTCTGCTAAGCATCCTAAAGCTACTGGTCTTTCTCGAGAAAAGTTTATCATCAGTTTATCATTGATGTTATCATTCTGGGATGGGTTGTGAGTGGAAAGGGAAAGTATCCCAATTTTTTAAAAAAATGTTTATTTATTGGGGCACCTAGGTGGCTCAGTTGGTTGGGTGTCCGACTTCAGCTCAGGTCATGATCTCGTGGTTCACGGGTTCAAGCCCCACGTCAGGCTCTGTGCTGACAGCTCAGAGCCTGGAGCCTGCTTTGTGGATTCTGTCTCCCTCTCTCTGCCCCTTCCCAGCTCATACTCGGTCTCTCGCTCTCTCAACAATAAATAAACCATTAAAAAAATTTTTTTAATGGTTTATTTAATTATTTTTGAGACAGAAAGTGGGAGAAGGACAGAGGAAGAGAGGGAATCCCAAGCAGGCTCCGTGCTGTCAGCACAGAGCCCAACATGGGCTCGAACTCACAACCGTGAGATCATGACCTGAACTGAAATTGAGTCAGATGCTTAACTGGCTGAGCCACCCAGGTGCCCCTCAATTTTAATGCAACTCAAAGTAAATCCCAGAGAAAGGCCAGTGCCTTTGCATGGGACCTCCCTCTGCAAAATAAACATACGGAGCATAGAAGCATTTCAAGAGTTCTGTGGGGACAGTGTCACTGGCTCGCAGGTAGCGGAGTGTCACACAAGGCCCGCACCCACCAGCCCTCTGAGCTTTAAAATCTGCAGGAGAGGGTCCCGTCATATCTCCTAGTTAACATCTGGGTCGCTTAAAGGAGAGCGGCAGGTAGGGAAGGTCGGTGCCCTGTGGTCTGGGACACCAGGCCCCACACTGGGTTCTCACCATCCCTTCACTGTCCCTCGGGGTCCAGCACAGGCACCCGGCAGTGAAGATCCTTGCTTTCTGTGCCTCCCCGCTCCCTTCTGTCCCCAATCCTGTCTCTGGTCATCACCTGGTTGAGGGAAGGGCAGGTTAACCGTAGCAGCGGTGGGGAGAGGGGCCAGTTGGTGGAGCTCAGACTCTTGGGTCAGCAAATCTGGCCTCAGGTGTGGGAACAGGAAGGACAAGGCAGGGAGCAGCTGGCAGTGGGCAAAAACCACGAAGTTCCAGCTAGTCCTGCTGGTGTGGAGATAGCAGGATTGTTGTGTGAGTCAGGTGACAGGGGTGAGTCAGGTGACAGGTACGAGGGCTTTCTCTGGGAGCAGGTTTCAGAGGAGAGCACAGGTAGGGAAGGCACAGCCTCATCAGCTGACCGCGGTGAGCGTGGAAGAATTATGTCATTTCTCCCGGCCTCAGTTTCATCATCCGCAAAAGGATGGCTATGTTCTTCTGCACCTGACTGGGCTTCCCGTTGAGGTGAGGTGGTTACAGCGATGGCGGGCCTGGGCTCCGGGCAGGCTGCTCCTGCAGCAGGGTGCAGGTTGGGTTCTCCAGCCGAGGCATCAGTGAGGCCTGGGCCTGGAAGGTCAGAACTGGGCCTCAGGGTCAGGAAGGTGTCTTGTTAAATAAATTTGGAGGGAAACACCGCATGGTATGGCCCCTTCTTGCAAAGTTCTAAAACCTCGATCCTATTAATGGCTTTCAGAGTCCTGCAGTTCAGAAGCCTTTTTAGCTTCACTGGTTCTTGTATTCACTTCCCCCCTTTCCCCGAGTACTTACTAACAACCCCAGGAACTATCCATGCCAGAGCCTTTTCGGTTTAAAAATTCTCCACCTTCCTGCTTCCTCTGGAGAGCGTCGGTCTTAGGGTTGGGTCTGGGACAGAGGCTATGGCAGCAGTCCGGCCGTGGGAAACACTGTAAGAGCATGGGGTGGGCCTGACACTATTTTCTTTCCCTTAAAAAAAAAAAAAAGACCTCTTAATTCTGAATAACTGCAGATTTATAGGAAAGTTGCAAAGATAGTATAGACAGTTCCCATATGCCCTTCACCCAGCTTCCCGTAATGTTAATGTCTTACACATACGCCACAGTACCTTTGTCAAAGCTAAGAGATGAACATCGCAAGGGTACACTTGACTGTCTATAGACTTCATTCCCATTGCACCAGTTCTTCTACTCCGTCTTCTTTCTGTTCCAGGACCCAATCTGTAACACCACATGACATCATGACATTTAGGTCATTTTCCTTCTTCGTTCCTTATCTCTCCCACCCCACATTTCAGTGTGTGTGTGTGTGTGTGTGTGTGTGTGTGTGTGTGTGTGTGTGTCCCTCCTGGTTCTCCCATCTCGTGGATGGGACAGGGAGACTAAAGTAGGTGAAGGGGACAGTGAAGTGAGTGCAGGAGTCCTCTGTATTGGGGACAAGTTCCCATGATGCCTTTTGTGAGGTGAGCAGTGACTGCAGGAAGAGAAGTCCACAATGTGGCCAGATGGAGAGGGACACGGGGAACCTGCTCACCCATGATGAGCAGGCAGAGGAAGCTGAAGCCGGGCAGGCTGAGAGAGCAGCTGTCTGCCTCTGGGGAGTAACAAGACAGAGAAACCCATGAAGCTTGAGGAGCCACTTCTTGAGGACAGTAGCCCCAACTATTCCCATCTCAGTCGTGGCTGCAGGTGGAGTGTGCCTGTGAGACAGCAGAACACTGGCCCTGTTACCTGAGAGCCAGATGGTTCACTCAGGCTCCACACTGTAATTCAAGGCAACTGGCCAGGTGAGGGAGAGCTCAGGCACCAAGGTGGTATGGTGGGGTTGTCACTCAGAGTATGTGCTCCAAGGTGACTGAAACAAGCTAACCACCCCATTCCATGCACAGATGAAGGATGAAAGCCAGGTGAACATAGAACAGGCTATGTAAGCTCCAGAGCTGTGTGGAGTAACAGGGAGAGACACTTCTGGAGTTCTGTGAAGCCCGCCCCATACAGAAGTAGAACAGACACTTCTGGATGCCTGCCCAACATGGATTTACACCCTTTCTCCTTGCTAACTCAACTCCAACTTACTTCATTCTCTGCTCCCTGGCTAAAAGTCTAAAAGGCAGGGGCACCTGGATGGCTCAGTTGGTTAAGCAACCAGCTCTTGATTTAGGTTCAGGTCACAGTCTCATGGTTTGTGACTTCAAGCCCTGCGTCGGGCTCTGTCCCAAGCAGTGTGGCACCTGCTTGGGATTCTCTCTCTCCCTCTCCCTGCCTCTCCCCTGCTCATGCTCTCTCTCTCTCTCAAAATAAATAAATAAAACTTTAGAAAGTCTAAAAGGCAAATGCTTCAGGGAGGCTGGTTTCTGAGAGCCATATTATGTTCCCATACTGTTTGCCAGGGATTGGTTTAAGCATGGGCATGTGGTACAATTCTGGCCAACAATGTAGATGTGAGGAGTAGTCCTCTAGAGATGGGTGTGGGTGTTCTGGAAAAGTTTTCCTCACTCTCAAAGAGACTCAAAGGTGAAACGGCTTTCTGTTCTGAATCTTGGCAATGGAGTGCCTTGGATGCAATATCTGGAACTTTGGCAGCCATCTTGTGACTGAGAACAGTGAGCCTACAAGAATGGACTGATGGGTGGGGCGCATGGCTGGCTCAGTCAGTATAGCATGTAACTCTTGATCTCAGGGTCTTGAGTTCCAGCCCCATGTTGCATATAGAGCTAACTTAAAAAAAAAAAAAAAAGAACAGATTGATAGGAAGAATCAACATCCTCTGTAACATCACTGAGTGGCCAAACCAACCCAGCTTGGTTGCAGCCACCTGCCTTTGGACTTTCCCTTGTGTGTAAGCCAGGTGAATTGGGTTTTTCTATTACTCTCTGGCACTGAATCACCCAGAGCCAGAAGATCTATGACCTGCTGGGGCCACTCCCAGCTCTCCCTCCTTGTCCTATGAATCCCCACCCTAGGTCTCTGTATTCGTTTCCTATTGCTGCTACAATAATTTCCCAAAAACATAGTGACTTAAAACAAAACAGATGTATTTTCTTACCTTTCTGGAGGTCAGAAGTTTTTTTTAAAGTTTATTTATTTATTTATTTATTAGAGAGAGAGAGAGAATCCCAAGCAGGCTCTGCACTGTCAGTGCAGAGCCCAATGCGGGACTTGAAACCCACAAACCACAAGATCATGACTTGAGCTGAAATCAAGAATTGGACACTTAACTGACAGAAGCCCCTGGGGCCCCTGGGGGTCAGAAGTTTAAAATCAAGGTGTTGCCATGTCGTATTCCTTCTGCAGGCTTCTGGAGAACACTGTTCTTTGCTCTTTTCAGCATTCCTTTACTCGTGACACCTTCCTCCCATCACTCAAGATCTCTGTTTCCCTTATCACATCTCCTGTTGCTCACTCTGACCTCCCGCCTCCCTCTTGTAAGGACCTTTGTGATTGAGTTGGGCCCACAGATAATCCAGGATAGTCTCCCCATCTCCAAATCCTTAATTTAAGCCCATCTACTGAGCTCCTTTGCCATGCAAGGTGACATCCTCTCAGGTTCTGCCAATTGGGGCATAGACATCTTTGGGAAGATGTTTTTCAGCCTAACACTCTCTCTCATCAAAGGTGATCCACACATCCCCTCGCAGCTCCACAGATGATGGTCATTCCTGTGGTGCCCCCTCCAGGGCATGACTTGCACAGACTGCCAGTCCAACCCTGTTCACCTGGTATTTCCCAATGCCAACTAGGGAGACTCTGCTTGAGTCTAGTATCTGCTCCTGGTGGGAGATGAGAGCCTGAGTCAGAAAGAGACAGGAATTGTGGATACAGAGTGAACTTCAGTTACTTCAAAGTGGAGAGAAATAGAGGCCTCGTGTGTTGTCAAGCTAAAAAAGATGTTGTCAGAGGCCTACCAGATGGCTTAAATGAGGTTCAGATTTTCCTTAGAAACTCACTGCTTTTGAGGACCCTCTTTGACGTCAGAGCCCCAGAAAGTCTGAGATCAGGGTGCCTGGGCATCTCTCAGGGAATATGAGCATCAGAGTTGGACTCTAACACCAATAGGCCACTGATCTGTTTCTCATCCATTCTGGACACTTGGCTAGGTTTGTGGTGGGAAAATTCAGAAGAACTGCACAGTCAGCTTTGGGGAGATTTCCAGCCATTTTCCTCCTTTTTGCCACATGCTGGGCTTCTGGCCGGGCCAAGGAGTACCATGCATAAATCCCGAATGTATTCTCCACATTGCGGCCTGGAACATGTCTTCTGCCTTCAGCCTTTGCAGCACGTCTGGAGCAAAGGTCACCTTGACTCTAAAATGACGGGTTGGGAACAGTCTCAAAGATTTACAGCTTCCAAATGCCACGGCTTGTGGTTGGGAAAGGGACACGGAAGAGAGATTTTTTGGAGACAGAAACAATGAGGCCAGAGCATTTGAGGGCTTCTTACCCTTAGCCCAACCTTGCAAAAGGATGTGGAGGAAGATGGGCAAAGTTAGCCTCGGGTGACCATCTCTCACAGCCTGACACAGGTGGCATTTTTCTGGTGTCTTGGGTGATTCCATGTCTCCAACCCCTACCCTATGTCTAGCCTCCTTTAAGGCAGCTCCATGGGTGGGAAGATGCACCAGCTTTGGTGTAGACCAGTCCCACTAAGAGAAGCAGATCAACAACCCAGGAGATAATGAACAAATTTTGTTTGGAGAATAAGCCACTTCTTGAGGGCAAAGCAACAACATCCTTTCGTTGGTCTAGATTCTAGTGCTCATACCTTTGCGTTGGTGAATCTCCAGAGAACTATGCACTTCCCCCCAAATGCTGTATTTACTAGATGAAAGAGGAAGAATAGAAGGGAGCATATGGGAACCTTTACCTAACAAAAGGTAAGGCCGGCGGATGATGCCATCAACAGCTGATGTGGATGGATCACCAGGGCTGGCACCTGCAGCCCTCAGTTGGCATGGTTCTGTCACACTGAAAGTCCTTCTTGCCTTCTCAGGTCTCATTTTTCCCAGCTGGATTATGAAATCTCTGCCTTTTCCACCCAAAGCAAGTTGTGGTACATCAATGGGTTAAGGTATGTGGCAAAACAGCCCTTTGGAAGAGAATGTTGACCTGGCAATCTTGTACTCAGGGGAGCAGGACCAGCACAGCGTGTCTTGCTGTCTAGTGCTGACTGTCTCCAAGCCCCACAGTCAGTGTGAATCTCCCTCAGAGACCACACATGTAACTGGGGTGGGGAGGCTTCTGGGAAGGCGTCAGGCTTCTAGACACAGTCATAAGTGAATGAAAAGTCCCACAATGTGGACACTCAGTGGACTGAGGAGGTGGCTCTCATGAATGGTTTTGGCTCTTGTCAGTGTCATGGTTGGAAATTCACCCTGGTTCATTCAGTTGTTTTGGGTTCTGTGCCAAGGGTGGCTGGGGAGATCCCTGAGGATTCCCTAGATGTACAGGGTCTGATTCATCCTGCCCCAGCCCAGGGTGATGACAGACATGGTCTGATTTCAGGCAGGGAACAACAAACCAGTGTTAATAAGAGAGAAACCTACTAGATGCTTCTGGAAGCATTTCAACTTTGTGCTCTTCCCTTATCTCCTTTCCCATACTCAATGGCAAAATAGCTAGAAAACCACAGGCTCCAAGGAGTCTCTGGAGAGGGGGTGGTGGTGGTGGTTAGAGCTTGTTTTCTAGAAAGCCAAGATAAAATGGGGAGCAGGCACACACATCCACATTGGGACATTTTGCTTCAGTGATGGCAGAAAGCTGGCTACTGTCTTGAGATCTGAAAAGGGGAGATAGGGTGTCAGGTATTAGGGTGGAGGGAGATCCTCAAGAGTGCAACCTCTGGGAGACCATTCTGTCTACACTGTCCACTGGCTAAGGACACTGGATACTTGATACACCCCTGAGAGGCAGACTTTGGGGAAGATGGCATAGAGGAATTCCCCCTCTAGGCAAGAAAATGCAAGAGCCTCCTTTAGTCGGGGTTCATAGTTGCAAGCAAAAGCAACTAACCCTGGCTGATTAAGTGGGGGAGATTAAGTGGGGAGAGAATTCATGAGTAAGACATTGAGCACCTGGTTTGGAAGCTGCACACCAGGGATAGCACCGCAACTCCTGTCGTAAGACCTGCATATGAAGAGACATTTGCTCTGCTGAAGGGCCCACAGCTAACACCCCAACACTGGGCACTGGGTGCTGGCTCGACACAGAGCCCCTGCGGCCTCTAGAAACTGGAGGCCCTGCTCCTATGACTGTCATCGCCCATTGCCAGAATACATTCTGAGCTCTTCCAGCTGCTCCTCGTAGGTGACAGAGCCCAGACTACTTACCTTGCCTACCTATCAGGGAGCTGGAGAAGCCAGTGTCTGTCCCTTTTGGTTTTTATAATGACGTGTGGGCTCTGCCTCACAAGGTGGGTGGGGGGCACAGGCACAGAAAAAGGTGCCGGTCCTTAGGGACCAAACACAGATGACAGTTGTTCCCTTTAAGTCATGAAGGGATAGGAAATGACTGCAGGGGCTTCTGATGCTGTCATACTTCTTCGCCTGGGAACCACTATAATCTGGCTTCTTTCACTCTGAGCTCACTGACACTGTTCTTGTTAAGGTCCTGTGATCTCCATCTTGCTAAAATCTGTGGTCATATCTCTGCCTCCATCTTGGTCAACCTCTTAGCAACATGTGCCACAGTTAGTCACTCCTTGAAACACTGTTTTCTCTTAGTTTCCATGACACCTCACCCCACTGGTTTCCCTCCACCCACCTCCTCCTCTGACGTCTTGGCTGGTTCTGTTTTCTCTGCCTGATCTCTGAGCATCGGTGTTCTCCAGACACGGTCCTGGCCCTTCTTTCCATCTTTGATATCTCCTCCATTAGCTCAGCCGTTCTTAGGACTTTAAACACCATCTACGTCCTGATGGCTCCTGCATTTGTGTCTCTAGCCCAGTTCTCTCCTTGGAACGCCAGACTTGTATACTCAATTGCAATAAAAAAAATCTTTTTAGTTGGAGATAATTTCAAACTTTCAGAAGAGTTGCAAAAATAAAAATAGCACACAAAACACCTGTATTCCCTTTACCCAGATTCAGTTTTCAA